TCAAAATATTAAATATTAAAATTTTTTTTTATATTTTTTTTTTTTTTAATTTTTTTTAAATTTTAATGTATAAATGAATAATATTTTGTACATTTAATTGAAATGAATTTTCAACAAGAACATTATTTTAAATTTTTATTTAATTTCTTTTTTGTTTTCTAAATTATGATAATTAAAATAAATAATAAATAATATAAAAAAAAGACAATATTTCTCTCTTAATTTTATAGAATATGAAATAATTGAAATTGTTTCCTTTATATAATAAATTGACTTTTATAATTATTATTATAAATATAGTTATCCTTTTTACCAAGTAGCTGAAAATAATATATAAAAATTGAATTAGATAAATATATTTTAAAAATTTTTATTATCTTTATAAAATTAAAAAATACAATGTAACAAAAAAACGTGTAATTGGTGCATTTATTAACAGATTAATAATATTAAAATTAATTATTAATGCATAATATTTTTATATGAAAGTAGAATTGTTAATTTTTGTGTTTTTCTAAATATATTTAATACAAATTGTATAATTTTTTTAGCACTAGCAAAATATTGTTGAATTTTTTGTGATTTACATGTAATTTGTTATTATGAGATAGGTAAATTATTTGTTTTAAAAGGAAAAGGCCTTAAATAAGCTGTTTTATTTAGAAAATTATAATAATATAAATATTAATATAAAATCGGTATTTTCATATTCAACATATAAAATTGAAATTTCAATTTTAATTAATATTTCGTCTTACTAATTGAAATGTTCATGAAATCGAAGCACATTTGATTTGTGCAAATTAAAATAGTTCCTTTTTTTTAATTTTCCATATTAAATATCAAAGCAGATCATTGCTTAATCATATATTAAAAACATCAACTAGGTATGAATTTTTCCAAGTCGGAAAGTAAAGCTTTTACAGTAATAATACTTCCCATCTTGTAAAGTTTTTAATATAATGTTAACTTTATAATATTTTAATTATAAAATTTGTTAACTTAATAATTAAAATATATTTAAAATTTAATAACAAAAGAAGAATATTTAAACATTTTTACATACAATGAAATCATAGAGAATATTAGAAAAAAAGAATCATGAAGAATAAATTTTTAAACCTAGAATAGGGGCACAATAGATCCATCAATTTTTTGAGTCACAGTGCATATTATTACTCCATGTTTAATTCTAAACTTAAAATTCAATATCCAGATCAAAATTTTCAATTCAAACAATTTCAATATTAAAATTTAGACCAAAAATTAAGGGTGATTAAAGTTGTATTCGTTATATTTTATTACGCCAAATAGGAAAGTCATATTAAATCATATTAAATTATTAAATTTTGATTATATAATTACATGTATTTTAAATTATTGCCCTGTTCTTTAGTTAGAGAATATTGTTACTTTATTTGGATTTATTAGAATTTCAAATGAAAATGAAAACAAGTGAAGGAAAGTGAAGTTTTAATGTAAAAATGTAGAGTAGAAATGATCGTTATAAATCACATAAAAAGCATTTTAAAACAATTGTGTATAAAAGGTGCTTTTTAAAAACATTATATAAGCTATACATATGAATATAGGCACATATTATATAAAATATAATTAAAGAATAAAATCATTTACACATTTTTTAAAAATTTGGTGCAGTTTCATATCGAATGAATCAGTTTCATTTTTGTGAAATATTATTTAGTACGTATATAGTTTACGTACAATTTATTGTTAAAAAATCTTGAAACTATTACATAATCCTAATTTCGATCCTATATTTTTAAACCATTTTTGTTAATAATAGTTTCATTTTTTTAACTTTTTATTTCAACAAATCATATCATGAATCTGCTTTTCATTACGAATCAAAACTTATTTACCTACATTGTATTGCTTACATTTAATATTTATAAAAGTAAAAGTAGTAGTTAAGGAAATGCATAATTAACATTTAATATTTTTGCAAAGAAAAAATAAAATTTTAATGAAATTATGGTTGCGCCCATATATATATTTACATTAAATTTACATAAAATTATGCAATATGTAAATGCGTTATGCTATAAATATTGGAAAGCAAAATGAGCTAATGCATAGCTTGAGATTAGTGTTAGAGTAATGTTTGAATTGAATATTGTTTTTGTGTAATCTGACTTGTGTAAAATTTTTCTATCTAAGAAACATTAAAAATATTGCATTAAAAATGTTTATGAATTTTCACGTTCAATATAAATTTGAAATTTCAAATTGGATCTTCAATTTTTTGAAATCAGAATAATATTATGCATGCAAACATAATTTGGAAATTATGTATTATGTTAGAACTAGAATACTTCTAATTTTTGGCTATTTTTATCAAGGATTGTTCAAGCTGATCATTTTTTATAAGTAATATTTTGTGATTCTTCAATCTTGTTATAAATTCTGGCATATTTATTTCTTTATTAAATATTTTCGCCGAAATTATAGATTTAGTAAGTAATATAATAAAAAAAATTTCTAAAGGAAAGCATTTATATATTATTGTGTATGTACAAACACGCTGAACATATCTTATTTAATTTGAATAGAAATTTAAAAAAAGGGGAAATGGCAATAGTAAAAAATTAAATCATTTGTAATAATACATGTATTTTATCGTGAGATGAAACGAAGATTTGACGATGATTGTTATTTACAGTTACAAAATGCTTTGACGCAGCGTTAGTACATTACTTGCCCTTGTGTAATTTGAGTTGTTCGTACATTAATCCGTACTTTATAACAGAAGATTTATATCTAAATGAGGATCACCATAAATAAATTAAAATGATATGAAAACTACACAAGAATAATTGTCTTCAATCACGGGAGTTGCTTTTATGATGACTTTTTTTTTTCTTTCGTATAAAGAAGTCGGAGTTTGTTAGAGCGCTATGCAAAGAAAGGTAAAAGCATTTTTACTATATTCAATTTATGTTCAATAATTGCTGAGATGTGATAGTAGAAACCTTCTTGAACTCAAAAAAAGTTTTGCCGAAGCTTTTTTTCTTCATTTTTATTTTCGAACATTTTTAACCAGAATAAAAAAAACTCAATTTCCAACAGAAATATTGACAAATTTTCAAATATTTTATCGATAAAAAATTTGTTTCATTATATCGTAAATTAAATTTTATTACTGAAAACATTTGTGTATATTTTTCCTAAAAAAATTACAAACAAAGTAAAAAATTTGTATTTTTATTTATGTAAATGTCAAATTATTTGACAGTAAATTTTTTTTTTTTCATATGGCATCTCGGATTTCAGTCGCTTGAATTTAAAGACTCCCGTGATTGTCGGACTTTTTTTTCCATAGACTTTTAATAATATGAATTTCCGTAGATCGCTTTAAAACATATCAGAATAAAAACAAAAAAATAATGTTAACAGTGTATAGTGTAAAAGAAATATTTAAATATAAAGTGTACCTATTAAAATAGTGTGTTAGTTTTTACTTTTGTATATATACAATAATTTGTGTATATTAAATTATACATGTACAAATGGAAATTACTGTTTCTTTTTATTACATTACAAAAATTATTTTAAATGTTATATTGTAAATGTTTTATTTTAAAATTGAATATACAAACCAATAACAAAAGAGTTTCCTATATAAGAATGCAGTCCGCAGTTGCTTGCAAGTATTATATTGATTTTTTTTTTTTTTTGGATTTTCATGCGAATAAAAACTTGTAAATCTTAAGAATCTGACTCTCATAACAATATTTTAAAAACAATGTATATATTTTCGATGAAATATAACAGTGTTTAAGATGAAGTAACTTTCGGCACTATTTTAATTAATAGTACATAATTATGTACTTATATGCATATATGTAAATCTATTTTTATTATATAGATATTTAACTATTATAATTCAAATACGGCACTAATACACAATTCAGCTTATAAGTATTCTCAATTTTATATTAATACAGTATCACTGTAATTTTAGAATCACGAAATTTTTTCTTAACGTAAACTTGTATAAGTTTTAAATTCAAAATAGTTTTACCAATTTTGCGCCAAACTTATCAAAATTGAACGATTTCTTAATTTAGGTGGGCAATTTCATTTGAAATTGTAGTAATAATGCATTATATAAATTACAACTCCTGATTTGAATAGCAATACCGTAAATATGTATATTATTTGCCGTAATTTTGAAGTTACATTGTTTTAAACTGATTTATTACCATATATGCATATACAAAATGTGTACACATTGTACCATAAAAGTTAACATCATCTATAAACACAGAAGTGAAATCAATATAGCAAGAGAAAGAACAATGAAAAAAGTAAAAGTGGAACGAATTGTAAATTATTTTCAAACAAAAAAAATAGAAAAAACAAATACAAACGCTTCAAAGCAAATATTGTTAGTTCTGAAAACATTTGAAACTTAAAATATTTGTTAATCAAGCCCTAAAAAATGACAACAAATTTATTATTCCATTTTATTATTCAAAAATGACTTAAAAATTCCCGTCATAAAAGAAAAATTCCACTAAGAATTCAATAACGTGTTAAATTGACTTATTCAGGTTAATGCAATCTAAAATGCCCTAATATTGTAAAGTTCGTTTTTTTTCAAATCCTAAAAGTGAATTATATGAAATCGGAATTACAGGAATTACTACAGTTACTACTACACAATTCAGTTTTTGAGCGTTGATTGTTGAATTTTGTAGTAGTATGATAATTTAAAACACAAGAACTATGCGTTTTACTGCATTGTTGAAAACACGAAGGTAATTTTGAACTATGAACAAATTGAAAGCTAATACTTGCTACAAAATCAACAAAAACAAGCGATGAAATAAGCGCCACCAAAACCTTTATAAAATTTCTTCTTTTCTTTCTAAAACTGATACAAGTAACTAGACAATTATTTGCTTTGTTTAAACAGAATCTCAAAATAATTTAATGCTAAATTATACGTTCATTATTCGAAGCACAGTAATATTATTTGTTATTATTTTCTTACCACATCTAAAAATATCAATAATTATCAAATCATTATTCATAAGGAAAAAATTTCAAAAATCATAGAATTTGTCAATCATTTTCAAAAAAATAAATAAATTAAGTAAATTTGAAAGACAGATAAGTAGTTAAATTGAAATATAGTCACATTCAGAATAGATAAGTTAATAATATTTTTTTAATGAAAATATTGAAGAGATATTCCATATGATGAACGTTGAAACTTTAATACTCACTTGAGCATTCTGGCGGGTTCCAGTTACCGAAAACGTTTAATTCATATAAAGAAGCAAGGGTAATAAATAATAAATACCACACCATCAGTATGATTCCTAAACGTTTATCTAATTTCCATCCATTTAAATGTATTGAAACTAGTAAAAATAAAACTGTGGAAAATAAAGAAAGCGTAGAATAGGCCAAACCTAAAAAAGAAATAAAAAGACAATTTGTTAAAAAAAAGGAAGACGTAAGTTCAAATTTTATTGAATAAAAAGTAACCACATATTGTGTACAATATCACTGCAAATAAATACCAAAATTCTTTTCTTAACTCAACCAGTTAAAATTTGAGTTAATTGGTTAATATGAATGATTAAAACTAATTATTTATGTTCATTTATATGAAAATATTCATTTAAAATTAATTCATTAAGGCAATGCCTCCGAGCGGAAAACAATATTTGCAGTAATATTATACTTTCATATGATATTAAATTTTAATTGTATATTATTACCTTTTGAAATAACATTTACATGTGAGCCGGGTGAAATAATTGCAGTTTGTATTAACCAAGGTAGGCCAAGGCATACTAATATATCAAATACATTTGAACCTACTGCATTACTAACAGCCATATCACCATAGCCCTCTTTGATCACCGCAATTGAGCTAAGAGCATCCGGCACCGAGACACCGGCTGCCACAAATGTCAGCCCCATAACAGTGTCAGGAATACCAAGAGTTGACCCAATTATAGTGATCATCCAAACCATGAAATATGAGAAAAATGATATCCATACCATTGATATGACAAATGTAAATGGATACCAATTTCGAAATTTCTCAGTTCTACAATCGGGCATTGTATACATACAAACATAGTGAATTGGATAAACAACATGCCAATATATTAATTTCGGAAGACCACCATCTGCTGGCTTTTCTAATGGATTTGGTTGTGGTTCACGTGCTTTTGGATCTTTTGATTTATAATATTCTGGTGGACCTGGTTCACCAACTTTTGGTGCCCCATTTGTATTTCCTGCTGGTGGTTTCGTTGAATCTTGTTGTCCTTGATCTGGATTATCTGGATTATAGGCATAATTCTGTTGTCCCTCACCTTGATCCCATGCACCTGTACCCCAATCATCCTGTCTACCAGCTGCCATTCCTCTACCGGCTCCACCTGTATTACTAACTGGTTGCGCTGATGATTCATCACCCCATGCTGAATTTGGATCCCAACTTGAATTTGGATCATTATAATTTTGATAATCATTTGATTGTTCATATGGATTCGATGGCTTTGACGGATCTTCTGTTAAACTTGTTACTTGTTGTTGATTATCTTGTGTGTATGATGTATCTGGTACATTTTTATATGTAACTAATGATGATTGTTCTTCTTTTGTAGGAAGTTTAATTGGAAGATTTAGTGACATTGCCCATCTCTCTAGTGGCGTATTAAAATGTAATGTTACACAGTAAATTACATAGAAAACTAACATTATGACAGACTCAAACTAAAAAAAATAAATTATTAAATAAATTATTACAGTTCCTTAAAAATTTTTTTATGAAAACAACAGTCTACATACATACCCATGAAATATAATCATTAACGATGACTAATAACATTAGTAATATTGAAAGGCAATAGAAAAAGCAGTCTCGAACTAATGGCCACCAATTTAGTTGACAAACTGTACCAGAACATAATGCACACACAGATATTACAAACATAATATTAAATACAGCCGATCCAATAACACCACTAATTCCAATATCATCTTTTGCGAAAAATACGCCAATTACAACTGTTGCTAATTCTGGTGCAGAACTACCTGCAGCCATAAATGTTGCTCCAGCAACATCTGGTGAAAGTTTCAATTCTTTAAGAAAAAATTAAAATAGAAAAGAAAAAGATGAAAATCGATTATAAAATTTTTTTTTTGTTGTAATAATTTTACATAAACCGCAAAACATTAATTACAAGAGGATAACCCTCTTTTAAATATCCTGTGGCTAAATAAAATATTAAATATTTTCTTTTTATTGCCGAGAGCAACAGAATTAGAAGATGAGTAACTCAAATTTAAAATTCTAATTATTATTATTTTGTATTTAAAAACTTATCAGTAGTAATTACATTGTACTTTTCTTTTATTGTAAAATCTTTAAAGAAATGTCGTTTGAAATAGATTAAAAAAGAAGACCAGACTAGAGAAAGTATATTCTTAAATATTTGTTGTAAAGAGACCATTTATGCTTTAAACACTCGCATGACTCTTACGTTTTCTAAAGTGAACCAGTTTGCAAGACAAAAGCAAATAACAAGAATTTTTGAGTTAAAAATAATTGGGGTGTATTAAAGAATAACAGTGATCTTCTTTATTCTTTATTATCGATGTAGACGAATTTACTTAAGGCTTCGCGTGTCAAGAATAATACGAATTTTGTAAAGAAGCAATAAAAATTCAATAATGAAAAATGTTAAAATAAATATTTTTAACAATACCGAAGAACAATTAATTACTTCCGCATAATAATTTTATCTAAAATAAAATATTTAAAATAACTATTTTGCATTTGTCAAATTTGTTGAAATTATTTTAAGAATTTATGTGTAATTCACAATAGGACCGAGACCGAAGAATTGATAATGTTAACGGATGTCAAAGTATACCACTGGCATGCTATATAATATATATAGTTATCGAATTACCAAACTCAGAGAGTAAATTGAAAATAAATTCTCAATATTGTATGAAAATCGCAAGTGCTGTTGGAAATTATTTGTGTGAAGAGAATCGTATAATACGATGTATTTAGCATATGAACAAAATTATCATGAAATTGATTCTCAAAAAATACCTCATAGAAATTCACCTCACATCGAAAAGTTTAAATTTTATGGAAAAAATTTTTGTAATGATTAATAATAATATAAATTTCTAATTCGGGATGAGAAGAGTTTTTTGTAATAATGATAAAAAAAATTTACGAGAATTTCGTTTCTTTCTACAAATTATCCTAATTAAATATTTTTAAGACACAAGTAATTGACAAATTTTAATAAAAAGCAAAAATGTTTTCGTTTTTTTTTTAAATAAATCTGCTAAAAGAATAAATTTTGTGAAAAAAATAATTTACATAAAGTACGTGTGTATGTACATATTTCTAAAATAACAAAAATAAAAAGTATAGTAAGAGAAATTTTGAATACATACATTCACGTTTTCGAGTTAAACTGAATTTAGACAAAAGAAGGAATTTTAAGCTTTAATTAAATTGTGATTTGTTTGAACTCAATTTAAAAATTAAATTAAATTCAATTTTATAAAATCGGTTTTATAAACTGACAAATAGTTGTTACAAATCACAATATAAACATATTCTTTCTTAACAGTTTAATAGTGACGTTTAAAATTCAAAATTTTCAAATACGAAAGAACCCTATAAGTATGCTATATTCTTCACTAAATAATGTACGTACATACTTCAAAAAAATATTTGTGTGTGTGTATGTGCCCATAATTTGGCTTATATCAGTGCCAGACCATATTTTATGAAAAGTGAAGGTGAAAAGGTTTCAAAAACATTTTTAATTACAATGACTGTCAAACATATGTACATATTTATGTACATGCACATATACATGTAAAATAAATGTATGACAATTCATTGAAAAACAAGGTCGTACAAGAAAATTGTCAAGGGTAAAATAAGAAAACATGACATGCTTTTGAATGATTTAAAATGTTTATTATCTCTATTCGTAATAATTAAGTATAATGCAAGAATTTAAAAAAGAAAATAAAATTTTGTTTTTGTTTCATCTTTAGCGTATAACATTTAAAATGATCTTATATAAAAACGGGATGGGAATTTCAAAGTTTAACATTTTTTGTATTCAAACATAAGAATATAAGAATTGAAAAGAAAATATCTTTATTTTTTAATTAGCATTAAAAAGCTTAATAATTCATATAAAAGAAATAAGTGTTACAACATTAAACTTTTTTGAGTTCAAAACAGTGGAAAAATATACAAAATGAAAAATTTTTGACAGTTTTCTAAGTAGTAAAAGAAAGTAATAATTCAGTTTTCAATTTAATAAATTTAATTTACGAGAAAATGAAATGGGAACTGGGATTTATGGTAAAACGAAATACAATTTGTAATGTATATTGTTATAACAGCATAAACGGTTCAATTGGGGTTTTCTATCTACACCACGTATAATGTTGTTGAGTTTTAATGAAATGTCAATTATAATAACATGTACCTAGATTTATTATCAAATTTGAATTGCGATAATTTTAGTTGTATAAAATTATTATAAAGAAAATTTAAAAGATATATGAATTATGAAGAGTAATGGACTTTAAAATTAAATACTGTCATTAATTTTACTTTTATGTATTGCATGCAAAATATAAATATTATTCCTAAATAGATTGTCAAGTGGTGTCCAGTACGCGGTAATCAAAGTTTCCGTATTGTCACATGCGGCTACCTGAAATTTTACCGCGCATCAGCATAAGTTTATTTTTATAAAAATGTGATTTGACGTATGTATATTACATTTCAATAAATAAAACCAATTGCTTTTTTGACTACCGAATACCGCGTCTATTTAGGGTCAGTACTTAAACGCTAAAATATTATCTGTAAATATGCACAATGTTCAATATTTTTTGTGTGCAAGAAGAGAATATTATTAAAAAATTATATTTAATAGCATAAATACAATATTCATATAAACAAAAATTTTCTGTCAAATTAATTAACCTATAATTCAGTGTTCAATATCATCATTATATTGGGAATCTTGTGATCTATACCAAAATACCATGTATGCGAGTAAAAATCTCCACGTTGTTGACTTTTTAAATTACAATTTAACAATCAGAGAGTCGTTTAGGAGCAAATTCAAATGTAATTATGCTTTTACTCTTTTAATATTTTTTGTTTTTTATTATATAATGCAATTTTACATACATACTAAAATACTTTGAAAAGCATATATACTTAAAATGTTATAAAAATTATACAAAATATTATGAGAAAAAATAACACTTTTCCAATATCCTTTTTTTTCCTTTTCTTGTTTTTTATTTTGCTTTGTAAATTTACACAATAGTTGTGTGAGATCTTAGAACCAAGGTCATTTACACAATTGCTTACTAAGCAACATTAATTTCGGTTGTTTTTTGTGGGAGTACGCTTATATGTGTGTATATACAAAAAAATATTCAAAATGAAAATCTAAATCTCAAAAAAACAAAAAAAAAATTTGTTACGAGTACATATACATAGATACGTGTGTATTTTACATTATTTTAGTCCTTGATAAAATATTTTTAGAGTTGTAACCATTTAAAAAAACTTTTCATTCAGATTGATACTTATAAATTTAATGACCTTAATGAATTGTAAATTACAACAATCTTATGCAAAGTTTTACTTGTATTTTGTGCATTAATCATAGTAAATTACTATTTCCTATATATATGCAATTTTAATAGTAAAAAAAAAAAATTTATTGTTGCAATTTTTTTAAAAGAGTTGCCATTAAAAATTTAAAAGTACAATATGCATTTGAACTTTAAAAAACTTATATAAACTTCAAGATTATGTAGGAAATTATTAAAATTTTTGTTAAAAATATTTGTGTAACTTTTTATATTCTTGGAATTATTGTGCATTATGTAACTCGTGAACAAATAATTGGATATACAATTGAAGAAACTTCTGTTTTTCCTTAAATTTTTTAATATTTATTAGGAGACTAATAAGCTTAAATAGTTTTAATTTAACAAGAATTAGTACCTCATGTGTTTCCGATTATGAACCTTAATTAAATGTTAAATATTTGTAGTTACAAATTTGCAATAACTCAATGCTTAAATTTTATGTATGTACTTGTATATACATATGTATGTAATTAATAAAACTAAAAGAATTCAGTAAAATTATATTTAATATTCGAAAAAAATATTTTTATTTTTGTTCAGGTTGCTATAACAAATACTTAATTACTATAGTACAAAATTTGGTCACATCCCTATAATCTGTAATATTGAAGAAGAAACCATAAAGAAAAATTTAATTTTGCTTTATTTTTGTGTTTCAAGTATATTTAGAGGAGATGCAAACAGACAAACAAAATTATGTATTCAAAATAAATTAAAAAAAATTATTATATAAAAAAGGCGTCAGAGATCTTTTATTTCTACAATTTTGAATAAAATAAAGTCTTGATTTTTAAGTAATTTATGATTTATATTAAAACATATTTTTTCATAATTTCCCAATTTTTCTACAAAATGTTTGTAAGTATATTTTCGTATATATGTAAAAAATTGTTAACTCATTTTCAATGTGTTTTAAACAAAAATTTCTTTAACATAATCAAAAATATTTTGTTAGAAAATCGATTAAATTTTATTCGAGTAAAACTTTTTATGGAATTCTTCGCATCCATATATTTAAATTCTATTTCGTTGTATACACATAATGACCGCTAGTGGTCTTAATTCATACAAGATTTGCAACTGCTTAAAATAATTTTCGCTGGAAAATTATCCACGTTTTGTAATACGAGTACCTGTGACGGAAAGCATAAGTGGTTTATCAAGAATTTTCCCTATATGAAAGTGGTCACTTTACTTCAAATTTAGAATTTTCTACGGGTATTCAAGGTTTGAGCAAAACTCTGTATACTTTGTTTCTAATGGGAATTTATTAATAAATGTTAGAAAACAAATACGAGGGTCACTATTTATATTTCGGGTCCTGGCAATACTAGTGCTGCCAGGTGCAATCTGACACTTCCATTGGAAAGTTTGACATTTTTTAGGACAACTTCACTCAGAACGTTTTGTCATTCGAGCGCGAATTGTTTTGTTTACAGTGACTTGAAAAATTCATCTCGGTCAAAAAATGGAATTGTCCCGTGAAAATTTTCGTGCGATGATTTTTTACGATTTTCGGCGCGGATTATCGAGACAAGAGTGTCTCGATCAACTTGTTTCGACTTTTGGTGATGAAGCACCATCAAAAACCACTGTAAATCGCTGGTACCAAGAGTTTGGTTTCGGACGCCGTTCGCTCCAGGATGAACTCACAAATCAGCTGAAACAATGGACTATTTGAGCACTCAAAATGTCGAATTGATGGGTCATCCGCCGTACAGTCCTGATTTAGCACCCAATGACTTCTTCTTATTCCCTCACATCAAAAAAAAAATGCGTGGACAACGATTTTCAACACCTGAAGAAGCAGTCGATGCGTTCAAAAACCATGTTTTGGAGGTGTCTCAATCGGAGTGGAAAAAGTGCTACGAAAATTGGTTTCAGCGCATGCAAAAGTGTATTGATCTTCATGGGGAATATTTTGAAAAACAATAAAACCATTTCCAATGATAAATGTTTGTTTTTTATTGCTAGACCCGAAATATAAATAGTGACCCTCGTAATGTGTGACATTAATTGGAATTTTTATAACTATTTGTGCTCTGATATCTCCGAAATAGAAAAGGAATTTTTATCAGTCATAATTAGTATGATGCAAAAATTGTACAGATATTGTTTTCGGCTCTTAAATCTGTTAAAATTAACAAATTTTCTTTTTTTTGTTTAATAAATATATTGGAGTAAGCTTTACTTGAGGGTTTGTTCGAAATCTGCGTTCGAACAGGTTTTATTTACATTTAAATAATGGGGTAGAATTTTACGCATGAAGACAAAAATTTATATAGATATATAGGTTTAGTTAAGGACTCTAAATTCTAATAAAATTTACGATAATTCGGCCGATTTTTTAATTTTTCTTTGTAAAATATAATAAGGAAGACCAAAATAATAACATTTTGTAATAATAAATAAAAATACCAACATAGTTTCGATTTGTTTTTTTTTGTTTGCCATTAGCCATTTTAGTAATTTTCAGGGTTCTTTTTTTATTTTCCTAAAAAACTTTAAAAAGTAGATCAGGGAATTTTTGTAAATATTTATAAAAAAACATAGAATTGCATCATTTTCTGATTATTACAATTTTCTTAATGTAACCTTCAAAATCACAAAAATTTGCCCAACTATATAGCATTAAGAAAGAAAATTTACATAAAAAAAAAAAATTGAATAATTTCATTGTATTAAAATATAAAAAATTATTTATTTTTTTTTTCTTAAATTGATAGTTGAATGTCGAAAAAAAATACAAGTAGAACAGAATTTCATTGAAGAATTTTTTTTTAACATCATTTTTATGGCACCAGAAATATACCATAGAGTAAGTATAGACAGACAAGACAAAATAAAATTGAACCGAAAACGAAAATCAAAAATAACAAGAGCGAATGAAATACCCTTTTAACGATTTGGAAAAAGTAAAATATTGAATTTTGCTCTTTTCTTTTTTTTTTGAGTTTTTGTATTCAATGAAATCATCAAACATTACAATTCTTTGAAAATAAAAGAGAAAAATTAATTTGTTTGTATGTATGTATTTAAAAGAAATGACGTCAGATTGAAAAATAAATTTAAAAAAAGTTTTTCAACATTATTATCGTCATAAAACAAAAATATTATTCTTTTTTTGCATATGTATATGTATAATGTATATGTATATTATATTTTATGTACAAGGATTTGGGAAGAATTATTATTGTTGTATATGTGTATAGGACACAGAGAGAAAAAAACTTAAATCACATGGTGGTATTCTGATCGATAATCGTTATAATTTTTCATTATAACAATCCAAGAGCAGAAAAAAAGAACAGAAACAATTTATTAAAAATACGTGTTCAGCATTTATTTCATAATATAAGTAAGTATGTATATATTGTATATTGTATATAATTTACAATATAGAATAATTGCAATTTTTGTAAAAATTTTAATTCTTTACAGTTTTAATTATTAAGTACTGAGCAACATGTTTTAAATAATTATAGCTTATTGCTAAAATTTAGAAGTAGTTATACATAAAACAATGATAAAAATACCGATTAAAATAATAAAACTATTTTAAATGGTTTTTCATGTCATTTTAATAACTCTCATTCACAATTGATTTAATTTGAATTGAACATTAAATTTGAGGGAAAAAAATCTGATGTGGACAACACGCATTCGACCCGAATCGTTAAAGTGTTGCATAAGACTATAAAAATATATTTATTTTGATATCAAATTCTATATGAAAGATTGCTTACTATCTTTAATTTTTGTACCTAGGTTTTACTTTTTGTACCTAGAAAAATATAAATTTGGCTCTTAGTAGAAGATCATTTTCTGTTTAATTTGATTTCATTGAAACTAAATAATAAATTTCGAGAAATTTCGTCACTTAGTACCATAAATAAAATAAAAGGTGTAAATAGGCCCTTATATTTAAATTTTTGTTTCCGAGTTCTGATATTCTCGAAATAAATTTACTGGTTTATTATTTTAATAACCAGTTTTGAAACATTTAATGTATAAAGTAAGTTGTTGATTATTTCGTGTTAGAAATTCCGCCCGCAATAAAAATCCACTCACTTATTCTTGGTTTAATTAAAAAGTTTAGGTGAATTATTGTTTTATTGTTAGCCAGAGCGTGTATGTAACTTTCAGGAAAATCGACTCAATATTTTCTGAAGGAATCGTAAAATCGGCCTGCAATTAAAGCACAATTGAGAGAAAAGTTGAGTCAACAGACATTTCTGTCAAAATAGTTCATTTACCCCACCTACATAATAGTATAGCATCGAAAAAAAAACAACAATTTCCGCTGAAAATTTAAAATGCGAAATTTGGTGCAATGGTAATGACATCACTTAGTCAAAAAGGCAAAGAAAACTTCTCTTAGGAAATTTCTTCCATATTTCTTTTTATCTACTGTATTATTTTAATATGTTACTAATGAAAATCCTAAAAGTATGCAATTTTAACTAGAATTACAATTTTATTCAATTGTTTAAATTATTAACTCAGCTTTAAAATTGAATTCCTTCGCACGTATTTCATTTTATGTTGATTAATTAAATTTTTGGTAAATTTTAAATTAAATTACGTAACAGTTAAAAAATAAATAAGTATTATAATATTTATTTTAATAATTTAAATCATAAAATGTGGGTTTGAATAAATCAATAAATTTAATTCAGCACAATTAAAAATTTCGTTTTCTTCTCTTCATACTTTTGAATTAATTAAAAATTTTGCACAAATCTATTTTTTAAGCATTTTTCAGAAATATATCAGATTACAATACTAAAATGAATTTTTTTTTTTGGATTTTAAAAGGATAATTCAAATTTTGAATTAAAATTTTATTGATTCTTTAAATAATTTTCTGCTTTTTTCGACATAAATTGAAAATATAAGGTTTCTGAATTTTGAAAATGAAATAGAAAAAATTCTTGTTTAAAATTTAATTAAAAATCTTGTAGAAGACTATTGAAATATTTTCATTTTTATGATTAAAGTCAAGTTTCGGAAATATTTGTGAAACATAAAATGTAAAAGTGTAAAATAACTTTTTTTTTTCATGTAAAAATTGACGCCATTTAATGCAAATTTTCCACCAACTTAACGTTCTTAACATTCATTATACAGAAAGAATAATTATTAATCGTCTTTATTTTTTTTATTAATAATTAAACTTTGGCTATAAAATTGTTTTTCATATATTTTTTTTATACTTAATTAGAAAACTTTTTTTAATTAAATTTAATAATATTAAAAATATTTTATATATTTTTTTTTTGTATCCTTACAGGATTTTCCTTTTATTAAAGATTTCGTTTTATTAAAGTAATTAATTTTAAAAATTTATATTTACCTTCGCATAATCTATCCAAACTGGCAACAAAATAATCATCACATACAATCGCTAAACCAAGAAATGAAAATATTGCAACTACAAAATGTATTATTAAACCACCATAGAGGCGAGCTTTTCTTGGCATTAATGGTCTTGGAAATTGTTCGATGGCAGGCGGTGTACAATTAATTCTAGGTGGCCTTAATGTTGGTTTACCATGTCTATTTAGAGGTGATGGAGTTGTAACTACCTATTGTTATATCATAAAACAGAAAATAAAAATAAAAAATTAATTTAATTAAATTTTATAGAAAAAAAAATTCATAAAATTTATTAATATTAGAAAATTATACTTTAATTACATTTGTAGAATTTTGTGTAGCGTCATCTGAAAGCTATACAATCATTTATGTACAATTTATATGTGGTGGTAAATATTGTTTAAATTTGTTTTTTTTTGGTGATTTTTTCATATGATATTTTAATACAAACACATACATACATTGGTTATTTAATTTGTAACACAGGCGGGGAAAAACAATTAAAATAAAAATAAATTTTATTAGCTATGTATTTAAATTTACTACAAAAAATATTAAAAAAAAAAAATTAAATATTTAAAATTAAATTTTGTATTGGTAGTACTTTTTAAAATTTAACAGAATAAGGGCTCCTGTACACATGCAATTTTTAGTTGCATTTCATTAGTTTGCAGCAAAGGTCGCACTAAATATTGCCTGTACATATGCACGAGCCCTAGGACTCTTATTTAAAAATTACAATTTAATATCGATTCGCACAACATTACATACACATTATTTAATTTTAAATATTTTTTTTGATTAATTTTTCTACATTAAAAGTTCTACCGAATTGGTTGTCAACTTATAGCATGCATTCAAAAATATACAATTTTAATTTTACTAATTTTAATATTTTAATAACTGTAAAACTGATTAAGACTTCAGCATTCAAAATATCTATTTGATTTCTATGTTATTTATAAGTGTTTGTTACAATGTTTGTTTATTCATGCAATAAAATATATAAAAGTACCATCCCTATTTTTATTCTAAAAAAACTGATTATTAATTAAAATGCTGCTGTCTTCTTTGACACATTATAAAACAAACAACCAGCAGAGTTAGATTTGTGCATGCTTTTAATACTCGTAATTAATTTTAAAATGGCCGCAGTATTAATTGGCAACCAATTCGAAAAGTATATACTACTAATATATATGACATTTTATTATAATATTTTATAATATTATTTTTAACTAAGTGTATAGTGTTTTACTAATTTAGCGTCACTAACAAAAACTCATTTAATAAGGTAATTATTATTTTAATAAAATTATTGTAATATATACTTTAATATTTTATTAAATTTTTTCTTATTTGTATAGTATAAATATAATTTGTATATAACAATATGTTTTAAGTATGTAACTTACTTTGGGAAGCTCTGATGCTGCTATTGTTGTTGATTCATCTTCTCCAAAATTTGGAGCTAATGTATCTTCAGGAATATCACTAACATCCGATTGAGAATAAGCAGACATGCAATAGTACATTATAAATAATATTCCCAAATTCCACATACGAAGACGTCTCGACCGCCTCATATCCTAAAAGAAAAAATACAGATTAATAAGAATTAACAGTTAGAAATTTTTCAAATAATATTTTATTTAAAATTAAAAACAACAATTGTAATTTACATATAGAACGTATATTAGTATTAATTTGAACAAAAACCTTTAACTTATATTAATTTAATAACAGACACCAGGGATTGTTAAGTGATGCTTCTATACGCCCAAATTTATACATAATTTTAGGCATTGTAAATAATAAAATAAATAGAAAAACCAGATTTCGGTATTAGAATAAATTATATTAGATTAGAATTTAGGAAGATGACGACTTCACACCGAATTACCCCGGTCCTAAAGGCTTATTATAACTATCTACCGCTAAAAAAACCCTTTCATATCAATGCAACAGCAGGGAATATGCCCATCCTCCTCATGGTAAATTTTAACTAAATTGCTTTTTGTGGCTTAAAATGTGCAAAAGTTAACGGCCAAGACTATAGTAGCTTAATTTTTACTTAAATTAAACAGCTGTTCTCCCGTGAGAAAGTTCAAAAACCTTACAGTTACAACTTTCATATATATGGAAAGGCTTTCCAGAAATAATTCATTGTTTAATTTACTGCTCCACGAATTCGAGAATTCGTATAATTATTTTGGAAATTTTCCTACGTTCTTACCATTTTAAAAATATTCACCAAAATTGAGAAAGCATAAATTTTACACGATATACGTAAAATAAATACTCGCATCACATAGCATAGTTAAGAAAGGGGGTGAGTAAATTGTACATAATTCATAATACATACGATATGCATACACAATATCGTATAAAATTATATAAAACCTTTTAATTATTATTTTCACTTCGTTATATTTTATTTTTATACCTTGAATACATCACAGCGATAAAGTTAATTAAAAAGTAATTTCAGAAGTTGACATTATAAAAAATTAAATATGTTTGTAATAATATTTACATATATAGGCAAATATGTATATGCTTCTACAACTGAAATGTTAACTAAATAAAAATATTTATGGAAATTATAATTTCAAAGTGCTTTCATATAATAATATTAATTAGTAATTACCTAATTAATAAATAATGGAATTGTAAAATAATAAACTATTTTTGAAAATGCTCATAATTTATTTATTTTATCCAATGTCAAAATGTAATTTGAAAGGGCCTATGTTATTCATGAGTTTACTTTATAATATTTAATACATAAATTTATGCATTAATATTAAACATGTCGAACAATTTCTTTGACAAAGACACTTTTCTATATAAAAAATTTTTAAAGGTATTGAATTTGATGTTTTGGTACTTTTATATTTAATTAATATTTTCTTTAAACACGTATGTAAAAAGTGAGTTAATTAAAATAAATTACTAATAAAATTTATACACATGAAAATTGTAAAAAATTTTTACAGTGAATAATACAGAATTCAATTTACGAGTTCAATTATGCATAAAGAATTACGTGATATTCAAAACGTAATATAAAATGTTTTTATAAAGTTTTTGCAGCTGCTGCATTTTTTCGATACACGCTCTGCTTTTGTTTGATGTTTCAACTGCGTATTCTGCACATTTTAGAATATTGTACAACGTCAAGAGCTTTTAATATACATTTTGGAATGTGATACATTGTAAATTTTTATCTTTTCACTACGTTTTGGAAGTCGCGGATTGTACAGTATTTTTGCAATTATTCAACTTTCGACCAAATTTTATAGAATTCTATTTACTCATAATTTTTAGAAATTTATAATTTAGTTGAATCCCTTATTTCACTTTTAAACTGGATCAGGTTTTAAAACTGTATTGATTCGACATGAAATTAAAAATTTGAGAGGTTTCAAGAATATTTTGTTTTAGAGGAATTTTTGTATTCCATCTTTTGCAAATTCTGTGGGAACAGTATTATACTATCGTTCCGTTGGGACAGTAACGAGTTGATCGCATATACAACCTTAGCGATTTACTGGAACATGAAACATCGATACCATCGAGACAAATCGATACGAGTTTAAGTGCGATGTTCACGGTTGAAATGTCTCTTCACCCTTATTGATTTCTCTTAAATATCTAGAATAAGTTCCAGAGTTTAGAAATCATATGTATGTCCCTCACATGTTTTGTTGAGAATTGCTGAATAAATTTTATGGTATGTACTTCTAGAATGAAATTAATAATAAAATTAATGAGCTTTTTATAAAGAAAAAATTATTTTCGCTATATTACTTTTAAAAATCTGACAGTAAGGATGATGAGAGTAGAGTAACTTCTATTATTTGCCGTCAGATAAGGTCTGACTAAACAGTGTTTACATGTACAACTTTCAGCAAACTTAAATTAAATTTTGGATTTTGTAAACAGAACCTTAAATTATTTGAATATAAATATTTCAAAGTTATTATCTTTGATTCATAACAAATTGTATCCAATATTGTCTATACCGTTAAATGTCAGTGTCATAATATTGTAAACAAAAAAAAAATTAAATAAAATTAATCAATAAAATTTTTTTATTTATTTAGGTTAAATCAGAAACAAAATATTATTTTTATACATAACTAATAATGGGAAGTATACATACTTATATATATATATATGAAAATATTTATAAATAAGAAGTCCGTCCCCTATATACAATATAAAAAACTAAACTTAATGTGGATAAGTCAAAGGTTAAATCATCATTTTCACTCTACATTACGTAATTACATTTTTATGTTGTTTGTATAATATTTAATATTCACGTACATATGAACGTTAATATTACATATACCTAAATCTATGTGTTAACACATAATTGCTTATAATATAGAATAAAGTATTGAACATGTGCATTGTACTAAATACCAACGTATAACTGTGATGAGAATTATATTTCATTTTTGGAATATTAGGTAAACACTTAAGGCTAATTTACTCTCACTCCCATAATACAATCAATTTGTAGAATTTTGTTAGGAGTTAGAAAGAAATTATTTTCATATAAAAAATTCATCTAAATATTGTTCCACATAGTATACAGAGTGTTCGAGATTTGATGGCATTCCCGAAGCAGAGTGATAAAATTGATCTAGACGAGCGAAAAATAATAAGGAGATTTTTTTTGTTTGACATTTCTTGGATAAACTTTTCATTTCCGAAAACAGTCTCATTTTTACAATTTTCGCTTATAAATCAGAAGATATAAAATGCAAAGTTAACTTGGTTTAATTATTTTGAAATTTATAAAGTTGCTCTCCTAGTTGTGTCCCATAAGTTAATGATATCTCGCTAAAATTGAACACTTTTCAGATAGATTAACTTTGTGACCCCATAAATCGAAAGAGAGGTCAAAAACAGGAAAATATCCCATAATTCTTTGCTGTCAGTTTTGAACCATTGTATTACCCTGAATACCATAGAGTCTCGGATACTCTATGTATACATACAATAAGTAATTATTGTATTCACGCGTATATCTGTAATAATATAGTATTATAAAATATATTGATCGGTAAGTAGGTTGATGGTGTATAACAAATATAAACTTTTAACATAATAAATGATTAACAAATAATAAAATTATAAATATAATATTAATTAATATGTAATTTGTAAAATGAGATTAACTAAATTATCTTACAATATATGTAGTATATATATAATATATATGTGCATAATGTATGGATATTAAAATTTATCAATAGAATTAATCGAGTGTTATTGTAAGCGAAGCTATTGTATAATTATGATTTTTGTAAATGAAATTGAATGAAAATTATGAAAATTGAAATTAATATTCATAATTTTTTATTATATTTTTTATCTTATTATTTTCAAAAGTAAATAAATTAAATATGTTTCAAATTGATTATCATATATGTAATTAATCGGATTAGCAGCTTAATAAAATAAGGGAAAAAAATTTAGTTGTACATAATATAAAAAAAAAATAAAATCTTTAAAAGAATTCATTTAATTTACTAAATCATAATGCTCTTAAATAATAAATTAGAAAATACATAATTATTTTCGAAAAGTAATTGACACATTAATTTTGTGTATGACAAGGGCGTGGATTTTTCAACCCAAAAAATTGATTGGGAAATTGAAAAAGAACAAAACAAGTTAGAAAAATTACTGATTGAAATCCACTTCCCAATTAATTCAATAGAAGTTTAACTAAAATATAGAAAAAAAAACATTATTTAGTTTATGTACTAATAAATGATGTACTCGTACATGCAAGGTAAGCCTTTGCAATGGGCGCCAGAAAACAGGGTGCCATTAAAAAATAAGTAAATATTGAAAGATTCTTATTATTTACTGTTATATATAATTTTTTCAACATTTTCCAACATTACGTGTTAAACAAAATTTTTTTCTTTCTATTTACAGCATAATTAACATGATAATATGTACCAACATTATACATGTAGATAAAAGAAAAAACTGGAAGTTTAATTCCAGGTTCTTAATTTTATGATCAAACTAGCATCTAGGATGATAATGTTATACGAAAATGACATATTATGCGTAATTTTATTATGATACGGGCGGAGGCAGCGACACCCGTTCTCAATAAACAGCATAGGGCGCAAAACAAGTCAGAACCGGGTTTGAAAATGATTGCAAAATGGGAGCTAATTAATATTGTCAACTATTTAAAAAATTTTAATTTCTTAAAGAAATTTGAATATTACTATCAAAACTTTATTTGAAAATATTAAAACTTTATTGAATTCGACTAAGCACAGAAATAATATAGTAATTTTTAAAACTGGAATAATAACAACACTATTATTAGAAATCCCATAAAACATATTAAATATATTTATATGTATACAGAAAAAAAATAATCGGCACTGTTAAAAAACAGAATTATTCAATTAATTGTAGCATAAAAATGCAATTATTCTAAATATTAAATCTACATGTTCTAAAATCAATAATTAACAAACGACGTTTTCATAAATACGTGCGATGTTGGAAAAGAACAATATTCACTATTATAAGCTATTCT